ACTGGGATTATGGGTGTGAGTACTACTCCTAGCCTGGGGCAGATATCCTGAATGCAATTTAAGAGAGACAGACTTTCTCTTTATAGCCATTGCTCCTGCTATTCCTCCCATTTCCTCTCTGCTCTTTGCCACCTCTATGAAAAGTTGCTGTCTGCCTTATGCCATTGTGCCTTGGAGCTGAGTATGGACTTAAACCTCCAGTAACTGTGAGCTAACTAAACCTTTCCTTCCTTCATTTTGGGTGTTGGGTATTTGTCCCAGCAAGGAGAGAAGAGTAACTGAGACACTGGTATACAGGTATGACCGGGCTATATTGAGGAAAATGTTTACTGTTGCTTTCTTTTTTAATAATTCTGGTTGCATCAAAAGGGAAGTCACTTACATTCCATTGAGATAATCTCCCATCAAATGTCATTTTGCACACATCACACAGTTTGGTTTCCAAATTTCTAGAATCCTCAGTGTATCTCATTGGGAACTGGTGAGCATAGTTTGTGATCTCTCACTCTGATTTTAGCTCTTTATTGAAGACAGCTGCAGAAGACAAAAGTTGTGAAGGTTGAATTAATAAAAAGCAAATAGAACTAGTAATGAATTGTGGAAGGAAATTTCATATGCTTCCCACACTTTGAAATTCTGGCTTACTTTTCTTTTCTCCAAGAAGCCTTTTGCTTCTGTAGAGAAAATACTAAGTGAAACCTGAGTCAGGCAAAGTAATGTGAGTTCACTTGAGCCCTTTTTGGTATTAGGAATTTGAAAGTTTGGTGCTTTTATATTATTATTATTATTACTATTTGTGTGTGTGTGTGTATGTGTGTGTGTGTGTGTGTGTGTGTGTGTGTATTTAGTACAGAGTCTACAGGGTCTCACTACACAGAACAGACTCTTAGTGATCCTCCTTTTTTCAGTCTCCCAAGAACTGGGATTACAGGCTTGCACCCCCACGCCCAGTCTCAATCATTGTGTCAGCGTGTCCTGAGGGTATTCCACGAATCAAACCCTGGTCTCTTAAGCGGGCACTTTAAGCCACTGAGCTATCTGGCCAGCCCTAATGCTTTTAGCACCTGAATTCCTTAGTTTCCTATTACACCCTACTTTCTGAACTAAATTAATGTACCTTTAATAGAATAAATGCAATTCTCAGTAAAGGGTGAATTTTGCATTTCAATTTCCTTAGGGAAAAATTTCTGCCATTTTATAAGCAGAGAAAAGGGAAAGGAAAGAGAAATGCTGAATTTTGTAGAAAAGGGTATAGATCCTAAAGCCATTTTATTTTATGTTATGATTATGAAAGTTAAATCATAATTGTATTATAAATTTTTTATAAATTCTACAGTACACTTTTTTAGAGAAGTTTCCTTAAAAGGAAAACAACTTCCTTTTGATTTCAGTGCTATTTGAATATCACCCTATTGTGAAAAAAACCCCTCACCCTTCACCAGAAGTAAAGCAGGCCTTCTTTGTCCCTAATTCAGGATGTTAGACTTCAGTTGGAAGGACACTTGAATAATAAATTTGTGGTCGCTGAGATTGTATAGACCTAGTTGGAATAAAGCTTCCTCCTGGACCAGGGATGAATGTGAAATTTATTTTGTACCTCGGACTCGAGTTTCTGCTTTTCCAGCATTCAGGGCCTCTGTGTTCCACTCTGGTGACCAGTGACACATTGTCTGTGGCAACCTGGATAGGATCTAAGACTCTGATACCAAAGGTTCAGATCCAGGTTTCCAGGACCTTCTATGCAGAGCGTCTCATCACCCTGACTGCACTAGGTTCATCCAAAGTGGCGCTATGCAGTCTCTGGGGGAAAATCGTTTCCCTCTTCATCACTTTTCACTATTAATGAAAAACAAAAAGAAAAGCAGTTTTAGGTTTATGCAATTTGTATCCTTTGCGGGGGATTCTGATCATCCTCATTTAAATGCTTATCCTCTGAACCATTCTTTCTGAGACATATCCGGAAATGGTCTAATCAATTTCAGAAGTGATCCCAGAATCAGGCCTGGTGCTCTGGAGGTTTTTGATGAGCAAGAGATCTGGCCTCACAGTTCCTCTTGGTCTTTAACAAACTTTTACCAGTGAATGTGATTTTAGTGTGCATTTTAATGAACAGCAGAAATTTATTCTATTCTATTCTGTTCTGTTCTGTTCTGTTCTGTTCTGTTCTGTTCTGTTCTGTTCTGTTCTGTTCTGTCCTGTCCTGTCCTGTCCTGTCCTGTCCTGTCCTGTCCTGTCCTGTCCTGCCCTGTCCTATCCAATCCTATCCTATCATTTACCTTCTATTTATCATCATCATCATCATCATCATCATCTATATCTGTCTAAATATCATCTATTTATTGATCACCTATCATCTACTTTGAGCCTTGAGCACATGTCCATGCAAACAGCAAACATAAAACATATACCATTCATGTAAGCACAATCCCTGCTCTCCAAGTTCTTCATTATGACCTGTGCACTAAAGTCACATCAGTGGGCACTCACACTCTCTCTTGTTCCTACTTTCCTTGGGGCATCACCCCTCTGTGGATTTTCCCTGGGTCCTGTGGGCCGATTCTGAGGAATCGCACATCTTGGAGCCAAATGCGAGTCCTCAGCTGAGCAGCAGCAGTGAGCTCAGCTTGGCTTCTGAGAAACTGCCTTCTCAAGTTCCTTTGGCAGCTTCCAGCTTCCTTGTGGCTGGCTGCTGGACAGTGAAGGCAGATCCGACAGCTGGAGGTCTGCGGTCATTCTCACTAAAATCCTCTAAGAGTTAATAACCCCAAGGGAGATCCAGGCCCAGAGCAGAAGTCAGTGCTGGCTTAAAAGGGCCCTGAGGCACAGTGCTGGTTGCTGGCAGTGGTTGTTCACCTGTGGCCTTTGGCTTTCTGCTTGTCCTCCAGAAGCTCTCTGTCTAGACGTGCAAGGCCTCCTGGAGAGCTGGGGAGTGAGGGTCACAGCTATCCCCAGATGCCAGGAAACCTTGGTGAGTGTGGTGCAGTGCTGGGGGCCTGAAGTGTGAAGGCAGGCATGCGATTTTGTGTGGGTGAGTGCCTAAACTACTGGCTCTGGATTTTGGCTCATGATTGGGGATAAAGTTCAAGCTAAGCTCACATTGAAAAGGACATTAGAGAAATGGCATTCCTAGTGCATCTGCGAGACCAGCAGCGTCTCCCTCCGCTGCATATGTGTTAGAAATGCACCTCCACGGGTCCCAGCCCGGACCTGCTGGACAGGAATCTCTGGGAATGGGAATGAAACACATGTATTTTACCAGGTGCTCCATGAAATTTTCATGCAGCTACAACTTGAGAACTACTGCTTAGAGATCGTTTTGAATCTAACATTTGGACTCCTAACCCCTGCCCAGTTACCCTAAACGCACAGCAATCAGTGGCTGGACAATGAGCTATAAGGTGTTAGATCCTCATGTGCGGTAGAGTAATAAAAACTTTCAGATGTTGATGGTTTGTGGAAATAAATATTCTGTCTCCATCTGTAAGCTGGGATCAGTGAGATTTCTTCAAAACAGCATTTATAGCTTCAACAAACATTTCTGCATTTCATGTATGCAAGGTTCTTCCCAGGGCAGAGGGCTTTGTGTCTCCAAACTGGAGTTTGCTGCATTAACTAGACCTTTGTTACCTGTTATAATGTCCCATATTCTGTGTAGATTTTGCTATTTTGGTCTTCAGCTGCTCCTTTTGAAATGAACTGTTATTGTTTTAAATCCAGAGTTCCAGATTAGATATTTTGGAAGAGATATGTGTACTTTATAAAATATGAATGAAACTCCTTAGGAAAAATTCACATCGCCAAGACATATTTTTCAATCTCTGTATTTAAGTTTGCAGTGTTATAATTTACAAGGAGAATGAATAAGGACTGTGCAGTTTCTCCTGACTTGAAGTAGAAAAGCTGATTCTCCGAGGTTCTGAATCATTCCTTCTAGTGGCTCAGACTCTTCGTCATTGCTGAGATCCTACAGCCTTTCGTTGGCTGTTTTCTTTTTGTTATTCTTCCTCTTTGGTCTCCGAAGCCTTAAACCTACTAATTCTGAAACTCGGATGCAAGTATTTTTGCAGGTATTTCTGATTTGTCCTGTCTTCAGTCAGGGGAGGAAGGCTGTAGAGTTTCCGTATCATACTTGCCTATATGTTTTCAAAGTATTTCCCCAGGGTATTTAACCTGTCACCTGGTTGTGACATTGAATATTAAAGCAGAGAAAATATCCAACACAATGTTTATATATTTGAATATGTGGGTGTGCTTTCCACTAAAATATCTAAAAGGCTTTTCATAGATTTCAAAAGTTAATCTCTGTTTTGTTTGAAAACAACTTCAGTAATGTCACTAAAACTTGGAGCCATTACTGGGACTGTAACAATCCTGCCTAGTGTGTTACTGTAAGTATTCTGAGGCAGAGCTTGTTTGTACGGATTCAATGAGCATATGCTCAGCATCATTCCATTGTGAAGTGTGAGGCTTGAAAGCTGTCTTGTCCTCATGGTATTCCGTGCTGCGATTTTCTTCTTATAAGCTCATACAACCTTCTAAAAAAGAACCTTAAATCCTGCAATATTTACTTTGAGTCCTACCTGTCAGAGTGGAGAGCTCACACTACCTTGGGTGTCTACTTTTCTTGGTATTGCAGATTGCTTAGAAGAAGCACTGTCAGTTTTTTTTTAATCGTCATTTTACTTAACTTTATTTTAAAAAGTAAAGATAAATAGAAACCAAGACAAAAACAGAGTAGTAAGTGGCAGTGCTCACGATGCAGAGTTTCAAAACAAGAATAAAAATTTAACAATGATTGTGATATTGCACAATATCATCATCAAATCTGTTGTTCAGATTAACAGATATAGGTTTGCAAAATTGCTCAAATCATTAAACATTAATACTTACTTTCGGCGGATGTGCTTGCACGAGGGGTTTCTGTCACCTTCCATCCCATGCCGCAGAGCTTGTTTCATGCCCGCTCAGCCGCGCCGGTTGAGTTGACCAAAGCAACGGTTATGGAGAAGCCTAGTGCCCTGCTGGTCGGGCGGGAATTTCTGAGACAGTATTACACCCTGCTGAACCAGGCCCCCACCATGCTGCATCGATTTTATGGAAAGAACTCTTCCTATGTCCACGAGGGATTGGATTCAAGTGGAAAACCTGCAGATGCAGTCTACGGACAGAAAGAAATTCATAGGAAAGTGATGTCACAAAACTTCACCAACTGCCACACCAAGTTCTGCCACGTTTATGCACATGCTACCCCGAATAATGGTGTGATGGTCCAGGTCATGGGACTGCTCTCTAACAACAACCAGGCTTAATGGAGGTTCATGCAGATGTTTGTCCTTGCTCCTGAGGGCTCGGTTGCAAATAAATTCTATGTTCATAATGATATCTTCAGATACGAAGATGAGGTCTTTGGTGGCTTTGTCACTGAGCCTCAGGAGGAATCTGAGGAAGAAGTAGAAGAGCCTGGAGAAGGACAGCAGATGCCTGAGGCTGTACCTGATGATTCTGGTACTTTCTATGATCAGACTGTCAGCAGTGACCTGGAAGAACATTTAGAGGAACCTGTTGCTGAGCCAGAGCCTGATCCTGAACCAGAACCAGGGCAAGAACCTGCATCTGAAATCCAAGAAGAAAAGTCTGAGCGTGTTTTAGCAGAAGCTGCTCCTGTGGATGCTCAGAGGAGTTCTTCTCCAGCACCCACAGACATAGCTCAGATAGTGCAGGAGGACTTGCAGACATTTTCTTGGGCATCTGTGACCAGTAAGAACCTTCCTCCTAGTGGAGCTGTTCCTGTTACTGGGACACCTTCTCATGTTGTGAAAGTACCAGCATCACAGCCCTGTCTAGAATTTAAACCTGAATCTCAGATTCCACCGCAGAGGCCCCAGAGGTACCAAAGAGTGAGAGAACAACGAATAAATATTCCTCCCCAGAGGGGACCCAGGCCAATTCGTGAAGCTGAGGAGCAAGGAGATGTTGAACCTCGGAGAACAGTGAGACATCTGGACAGCCACCGGCTCTTCATTGGGAACTTGCCTCATGAGGTGGACAAATTAGAACTCAAAGATTTCTTTCAAAACTATGGGAATGTGGTGGAGCTGCTCATAAACAGCGGGGGGGGGGGGAAGCTGCCCAATTTTGGCTTTGTCGTGTTTGATGATTCTGAGCCTGTGCAGAAGGTCCTTAGCAACAGGCCCATCACGTTCAGAGGTGAAGTCCATCTGAATGCGGAAGAGAAGAAGACTCATGCTGCTAGGGAAGGGGACCATTGAGACAACCGCCTGTGGGGACCTGGAGGCTCCTGAGGTGGGCTGGGAAGTGGCATGAGAGGTCCTCCCCATGGAGGAATGGTGCAGAAACCTGGCTTTGGAGTAGGAAGGGGGATTGCTCCGTGGCAGTGAATCGCCCTTCACCCAGCTCCACCAAGAGAACCCAGCTCCCGTGAACCAGTGAATTTCTTTAGCCAGCCTTCAATGGCTGGGAGTGTGACCCCAGTCTGTTATAAACTGCTTCAGTTTGTACAGTTTTGCTTACTTTGTGTTGATGGTGTGTGCTCCCTTCCTTTTCCCTCTCTCTCTTGTCCTTTCAGTCCTTCACTTCCAATTTTATGGAATGATATTTTAGGAGTAAAAGATTTTTAAAGAAGAAAAAAGACTGAATTTCCTTGCTTACTTTGCATATACAGACTGGATTCTTTTTAAACAACCATTTCCCCAAAGGAATGTGTCACTTATTACTGACATTTGGTATGTTTCATTCATTGGAATATTTCTCACTTATTTTTTAACACGTTTCAAAAGCCTGTGAGAAGTACAGGATTTGATAAACATTTTGGAGACAGGAAAAATCCAAATCACTTCTTTGCGAGTCTTGACTCTTCTGATGCTGAAAAATGGTCATGTGGGAAATTTGAGAAACTATTCTCACGGATATGGTTGGAAACCGAGTAAATGGTGTTAATAGAACTTTGCTTTTGATATTGACCACAAAGCAGTTCTAAAACCTACTGTTTTAACTATTGAAATTTAAGTTATAAGATAGGTTTGAATGTCGAGAATGCAATTGATAGGCTTTTCTCAAATTGTTATTTTTTTTGAAATAGAATTTTTTACTTGTATTTGTTAAAAAAAAGAAAAGAAGAAAAAAAATACTAACTCCTCATCTGAATGACAACCAGCACAAAACTGTTGTGCCTTCTATTTATCTGAGATTCCACTCTTGGAAACTGTTTAAAGAAAAATAAATCTAGATTTGTTTTATTAGGTTCAGAGATACAAGGAATTGTAGACTCCCTCTTTCTTCACCTTGTCTGACTTCTGTTAACATTTGTTATGCCTTATTCTAGATTGAGTCTCAAACTGGAAAGCCTGTCAGGAAAGAGGTCTCTATAGAGGTTCTCTGACCCAAATAGCTGAGTGTTTGTATTAAATTTTGTTTTGATATCTAATCAGATTCCTAATCATAGTCCATGAGAAAGAATGTGACTTTAACTTTGGACTTAGGTGATGTGCTCAAGTGTCCGCAGTTTCTTTTTCTTTCAATCATAGCCATATGGTAAATTTCCTATTTTGTTATGGTTCTCTTTCATTGATGGGCATGTAGTGGGTGTTTCTTGGAAATGGCCTATTTTTATTAAAATATTTCTGGAAGAAAAAAATGCTTACTTCCAATAAACTTTCATTTTTTCCTTGCTCTTTTTTACTTTATTTTTAAAAAATTTATTTTAAAGAGAGAATATTACTTGATAAGACATTAGAAATAGTACACATTTAGAAGAACAAAATGAGAGGTATTCAACCATGGTTTTTGTATTGCACTTTGCTGTCTTCGATGTAGTGGCTCAGATTACAGATAATAGCATACAGAGTTAATGAACGTGAAAATCTTAAACATTAGCTGCTACTTTCAGAAAACTGGGGGAAGGTTGGCCAGATAGCTCAGTGGACTAAAGAGCCTGCCTAGGCAGGCACGGGGAGTGAGGTTCAATCCCTGGCGCACCATACCAACCCTGCCCCCAGGGCACGCTGAGCCAGCAATTGAGACTGGGCGTGGTGGTGCATGCCTGTAATCCCAGCACTTGGGAGGCTGAAAACAAGAGGGTCACTATGAGTGTGATCTGTGTAGTGAGACCCTGTACTAAATACATTTTTTTAAAAAACTGGTGGAAATGAGTACTACAATCATTTCAGCTATCTTAAATATATACTTGCATGATGTTTCCACTTACTTTTTCCCCCTATCTCTTTTCCCTTTCCCTCATCTTTATTGTTTATCCCTTGTATTCAGTTTCTTTCCATTTTACTATATCTGTTACTCCTTTTGATTTTATTTATTCTTTCAGGTTCTCACACTAGAGAGACAATACAATATTCACACATGTAAATATTGATTTGTTTCACTTATGAGTATAGCCTCTGGTTGCATCCATTTACCTACAAAGGCCTCAAGATTGTCTTTCTTTATAGCTGAGTAACGCTCTATTGTATAAAATGCCACATCTTTTTTATCCATTCTTCAGGTGATGGGCATTTTGGTTGTTTCCAAGATTTGGCTATGACAAATTGTGCTGCTATAAACATGGGTGCACATACATCACTGTGGTTTAAGATGTTTCCAGTTCTTTTGGAAAAATATCCAGAAGGGGAATAGCTGGTTTGTATAGGACTCTTAATTCTAGTTTTTTGGGGTTTTTTTGAGGAGTCTCCAGACTGATTTCCATAGTTGTTGAACCAGTCTACAATCCCACAACAGTGGAGAAGGGTTCCTTTTTCCTACAGCCTCTCCAGCAATTGTTATTAGTTGATTTCTTTGTGACAGCCATTCTTTCTGGGGTGAGATGTATCTCAATGTTGTTTTAATTTGCATTTCTTTTGTAAGATCTTGGATCCATGAATCTCTTGGCAGGTGAAAAGCAAGAGGAGGTAGGTGCTGGGCAAAGCTACAACTTAAGGCACCCACACTTCAAGGAAGAGTTGTCTGGTGTTGTATGTGGCAGTTGCCAGAATTTTGGCACTTCTGCAAATCCATGGTACTACCTTAGATTTCTCTGATTGGTCTAAATTCTTGTCTTCAAGCCTGTTTGAGCTCTACTGAAATGAATGACTTCGTCTCAGAGAGCCACTATAAAGTTCCATATTACTGGATGGTCTCAAGCTTTATCCTTTAACATGGAATAATTCACTTGATTAACTAATTATTGTCTTGGAAGATAATAGGGACAGGAAGAGACCAGAATAATAAAACTAGAGCTTTAGAAAGACAGTATAGTATGGTGAGAAATATCATCTTTTCAATCAGAGACTGAAAATCTTTGCTTAAGATACATTCTTTAAGCTTCAGTTTCTTCATTTGTAGGAGGACATAAGTATAACTACCTTATAGAACTACAGTTAAAATTGAGGTTGTGGTGTACAATGTTTTCCACATAGTGAATATATTGAATGTATGCTAGCAAAAGTTATAATAGACAAGCCAATGTCTATTGAATGAAGGTAAGTGGATTAAATGCTTTTCCATCTGGCTGTAAGATTCCTAAGATTAGGCTGGAAGTCATGTTGTGGGGTAAAGGGAGAGTCACTGGAATTGCTGCTCTAGCAGTGACATATGGAGGTGGCAGCACTGAGCCTGGCGGGGTCATGGAAGCTGGGTGGGGGGCTTGTTTTAATCAAGTGTTGTAAGATACACAGCGATACAAGTGACTGTCATGAAGAGGCTTTATACTCTCAGATCCTTGTGACTAGAAGGCACAGTGCCCTATTCTCTGGACAGGCACCACACTGGGAAGTACCAGGTGAATTAATAAAGGAAATATGGTATTTGTACACAATGAAGTACTACTCAGCTATGAAGAACAAGGGAAGCATGTCATGATCGTCATGTTTTATCCAGGAAAATGGGTAAAACTCAAACATAATGCTAAATACAATATGTCAGACTCAGAAAGTTAAATATCACTTGTTTCCCCTTATAGGAGAAGCCTAAAATATACAAAAGAATAAAACAAAGGAGATATGATAGGAAACTAGAAGGTAGACTATTGGGGATGGAGAAGGGGATTGGAGGAAGAAAGAGGAAAGGAAAGGAAAATAAAGAGGCTAGAAAGGGTCAAGATTTGCTACATGCCAGTTTCCTAAAATGAACATTACAAACATGCACTGATAAGATAAATGGATGAATGAATGAAGATCACACACATGTAAATAGCACAAAGGTCAAGAAAATATTGCAAAAGAAATTTGAAAAATACCTTGAGAATAAATAAGAGTAACAATTTAAAAATGCATTCTGTAAAAATTCCATAAAATATATTATGAGCTTCAACCTGGTAGTTGATCTAGCCGTGGGAAACCTCATTTAATCCTCATGAAATCTAACCATAACTGGAATCTTTAAAACTCTTCCCAAAGTATCAGGCATGAAAATATGAACACCTTCCTACTATGCTGAAATCTAAACTTTCTCCCACTTTGAGAAGTTTTTTTATAAGTCAGCCATATCTAGTAGTTTCTTTCATTATCAGGCAGATGTACTTAATAAATGTTTCTGTATCAGTGTTTTTCACAGTGTGTGTGGCTCAGAAGTTGAGTTGAATCATACAAACAGTTCTGAGTTAGACTGTATTTTCTTTAAAAATAAAGATATCAAAAATAATTCTCCAATTAAGAGATCTACAATGACAGAGTGGATAAAAAACAAGACTCAACTGTACACTGCTTATAAGAAGTTATTTCACTTCTATGGATACAGACAGGAAGTGATGTAGTCCATGCAAATGGAATCCACAAGAAAGCAGGAGGCCAGGGAGATAGCTTAGTAGAATAAGCTCCTGCCTGGTTAACACAAGTTTCTGAGTTCAATCCTTGATACAAAAAAAAAAAAAAAA